TGATGCGCTACTTGTGCAGTACGTCGGGCATGGGGCTCGTGCTTGGAGGACGGGCTCGAGTTGTCCTCACTGGTCACGCAGACGCTTCTTGGGTTGACGACTTGGCTACGCAGCGGTCGTCACAGGGTTACACCTTCAGCCTTGGCTCCGGCTCTGTTTTGTGGCGGTCTACCCGCTCGTCTTCTGTTCTCAGCTCCAGTTGTGAGGCTGAGATCTACGCAGGGGCCATGGCTGCACAGGAGTTACGCTGGCTCACCTATCTGCTGACCGACTTGGGCGAGCTGCCTCGTTCTCCTCCAGTTTTGTACGTCGACAACAAGGCCATGATTGCCTTGTGACAGGAGCACAGACTGGAGCACAGAACGAAGCACATCACTCTGCGCTACTTCCTTGCTCGAGAGTTGCAGCAGCGTGGTCAGCTTCGTCTTGTTTACGTGGCCTCTCAGGCCAACACTGCTGATATCTTCACCAAGGCACTTCAGCCTTGTGATCATCAGCGTTTCTGTACTGTTCTAGGCCTTGTGCCTACTTGGCCTCACTTGCTCACTTCTTGACTTTGCTTGTACTGTGATCTATATACATATACCTGCATGCTTACACTTGCTAGGTTGTGATCACTGTACTGCTTGTTCTCCTTTATATAACTCTGCATGTGGACAGGCCTTGTGGCCATTTGCTCGTGCTCGGACTGCGTGGTGACGTTGTGATCCACCCTGAGCTTGACCTTGCTTCGTTCTCTTGCTTGTCCCCCACTTTGCCTATGGGGGTGTGTCAGAACTATGCATTTATATGCTCTAGGCTGTAGTGGGGCACTCCTCATGGGGTACAGCCCAATTAGGTTTTGCTATACAAACCCTGTACTGCTGTCACTCTAGTCATTCTTCATTCCTACATTCTGACAGCTGGAACACCACTGAGGGCTGGGACGATGTGGACCCTCACACTGCCCGGACCGGAAAATTTGAAGATTGCGCCCGGTGGAGCATCCACCTCGGAATCGAATCCGAATACCATGCCTGGACAATTTTGGACTTCGCCACCCACCAGCTCACGCGTTCACGTGACTGCATCTTCTACGAAAGGCTGACCCTGCCACTGTACCGACAGCACCGCACTGCACAGGACGCACCGGACAACGTTTTTCAGGGACAGCACAGCTATGCCAATGACGAGGACGACGTCGACGTGGCAGGAGAACAGCCAGACGAGGCCACAGAGGATGAGGCACCCTTCGTCCCCGTTACAGAGCAGTTCGGCACACCCACATTCTTTCCGACGGAAGCTGATCCACATGAAGCAGTACAGGCACAGCACGACTATGCAAGTGCAGAACTGCACTGACCCATGAACGAAGACCCTGCTCGCAATTCTTCTCGCGACACCGTTCGCGACATCCCTGGCGACGACGACGACGTGATTGAAGTTACCAACGCAGCTGAATCCAACCTGACAGGCCTTCACATCCTTGGACTCGCCGTCGCCGTTCGGGGTAACCAGCAACTGGTCGAGCCCACCACCGTTCGCCAGGCCCTCAGTGGGCCCGATGCTGAGAAGTGGAGAGCCGCCATGGCCGCAGAAGTCGCTGCACTCCAGCGACATGGCACCTGGAAGCTGGTACCTCGACGACACGCAAAGGGGAGAAAAATCCTTACGGGAAAATGGGTCTTCAGGATTAAAACTCTCGCGGATGGAACTATTGACAAGTACAAAGCACGCTGGGTTGTCCGCGGATTCAAACAGACTCAATTCGTGGACTACGATCAAACATTCGCACCTGTCGGCCGCCACACCTCCGTGCGGATTCTCCTTTGCATCGCTGCCGTGAAGCAGCGCCCCCTCCGCAAGATCGACGTCTCCAACGCCTTCCTCTACGCGATCGTCGATGCCATCATCTACGTCGAGCAGCCGCACGCCTTCGAGGAAGACGGCGACGCCATCTGCCTCCTCCAGAAATCCCTGTATGGCATCAAGCAGGCGCCCCGTCTGTGGCAACAGTACCTCCACACAGTGCTCATAGAAGTCGGCTTCCAGCAACTTCCCCACGATCAGGGGATGTACCGCCTCAAGTCCCGCGGCAGCTTCATCCTGCTCGTCGCCTACATGGACGACCTTCTCTACACCAGAGACAACGCGGAGCTGCTCGATCGCTTCGAACACGACATCCAGGAGCGGCTGGAGGTGACCATCGATCATGAGGTCACACAATTCCTCGGCCTCAACGTCACCCAGACCGCCGACACGATCTACCTCTCCGCCGCGAAATACGTCGAGACCCTCGCCAAGAAGTTCGGCATTGCTCCCATCGACATCACCACCCCGTTTCGCACTCCTCTGCCTAACCACGAGCCCGACACCACCCCGCTATCCCTGGCCGACCATCGTCTCTACCAGCAGCAACTCGGATGCCTACTGTTCGCCGCCGTCACATGCCGCCCGGACTTATCCTACATCGCCAGCCAGCTCGCCCAGTACCTACGTCGACCTGAAGAGGAGAACCTGGCAGACCTGCGCCGCGCCTTACAGTACTTCATCTCTACGCCCGATGTCGGCCTCACCTACACAGCGAACCTAACGGCTACTCTACAGCTTACTGGCTACGTGGATGCGGATCACGCTGGGGACGCAGATAACAGGAGGTCCCGCACAGGCTTCATTTTCAAACTTGAACCTGCAGGAACCATCTCCTGGAACTCACAGAAGCAGGAACTCATCGCCCTCTCGTCAGCAGAAGCAGAATTCATCGCAGCAAGCGCAGCAGTTCGCGAAGGACTCTACCTCACGGAACTCCTACAGGAAACGAAGACGGCGATGAACGGGTCCTTCAAGTTACTCTGCGATAACCAAAGTGCGATCAAAATCGCAAACAAGCCAGGCTTCGTCAACCGCACGAAACACATCGCCCTGCGTTACTTCTTCGTCAAGGACGAAATCGACAAAGGGAAGGTCCAGCTCACCTACTGCCCGACCGGCGAGATGGCAGCTGATTTTCTGACGAAGAAACTGCCACGTCAGAAGTTCCAGTACTGCTCGGACCTGTGCGGAGTCGTCCGAAAGAGCCACGTGGCGCACCTCCAGGAATGAAGGGCAGTGTTGGAGTATGAAGGGAATTACACTCAGCATTCCCGTAGGTGCAGCAGTATCACACCAGTCCCTATCGAAGCAGCAACAACAGCAGTATCGGATCAGCCCGTATCAAGGGCAGGAAGGTCAACAGTCGCAAGAGTCAACTGTTGCGACTGTTGACCATCTGGACCGACGATTGACTTACCATTGAGGAATGGCAACAGGCGTAACCGTACGTACAGGTTACATGCAGCGACTCGGTAACAAGAAAGTAGTGCAACAGTTAGAGTCACTGTAGGATTGGCTGTAAAGCAGTTAGAATAAGGGAATGTACCCCTCACAGTACATGGCTAGCTAGAACTATTTATTATGTGTGTAATCTTTGTTTTAAATCAACTTTGTCATTTACATTTACTATTATCAGAGTTCCTACAACAATACTTCCGCTACCAAACTCTTCTAAGGTATTCCTATCCTATCCAAGGTCCTCACTCTAACAATCCTCATATTGTTTGCTCTTTCATTATGTCACCATTGCAATGTTATACATTCATGCAAAAAAACAAAACAAAACAAAACTCAATATTTTGCCCTTGAAGCATACTACCGTAAATTCCCCATATAAAACACACCCGAGTAGTAGACCCTGAGGTCTAAAATAAAGGGGTGGTCCTTTTATTTTGGTACATTTGGGCTATACCCCCTTTTGTGCTGAAAACAATATAAGAACCCCCCCCCCTTCCTCCCCTTTCTTTTGCCCTTAATATTACGGCCGTTTTATGGCATTTCAGTCGTTTGCCTATGAATGCAACCTTAACACATACCACACCCATAATGCATTTACCATATTAGTTGTACATTATGAAAAACAAACTAGGGGTGTGTTCCTGGCTCGTGTCAAACTTCCGGTCTTCCGGGGATGACACGAAGCTGGCCCCACTTTGGGTCTTCCCGCTAATTTTCGCCTCTGTTTTCAGAAGACACGAAGTTTGACAGGAAGTTTGACGTACACCTTCAGGTCTTCCCGGGAAGACCAGAAGTTTGACACGGGCCAGGAACGCACCCTAGGACTCTAGGTATCGCTCTCCACCGCCACTCAGGGGGATTTCACAGTGACATGCCTTTGTCACTGGCGACTCGCATTTGCACACTTTATGAGGATTCTAAAAAAGGAGCACACATCCTAGACATGATTGCATTCAAATACACATTACAAATTTACGTTTAAAGCGACATGACTAGGTTGGACAACAGGTGTACATGTTGGATGTTGGTTTCCTGTCAATCCAATGCATGTCGGGTCAGGTGCTAAGCGAGGTTAGGAGCAGGGAAGAAGGTAGTTTTTGCGTCTTAGCAATAGTCGAAGAGGCGAGCACATTGCCGTCTCGTCACTCACAGCATGTTCCTTGCCGTGGTATCGCAATCCGCCTTTCCTTTACTCCTCGCCTCGTGCCGTTCATGTCACGCCCCCGGCAGTACCAGCTCCGCAAATGCCGCCAGCTACGGCAGTGCGACTCAGGCCACCACTCTGTGCTGCGCATCACCCGATCGAGTCGCCTTATCCAGAGAACGTGATCGGGGAGCATCAGCTGCGCAAGCAAGCCACGGCGCGCGCGGCTCGACGAGAGACGAAATTCGCGAAACGGCGTGGAGCAACGACGCGCGCGACAGCGGCGGCGATGCGAGCGACGGCGAGGCGCCTCGGCCTGGCGGAACCTCGCGGCGGGTCCGGGTGAGCCCGCGACGATCGCGGGGGGAAGAGCTTTCGTTGGGCGGTCGGGCAGGAGGAAGGGCTGAGGAGGGAAGGGAGGCGGGCGCGGAAGTCGGCGGGGGAGATGAGCCGCGTGCGCGCAGGCGACAGGGGGAGAGACGCCAGTTGATTAGCGGAGCTAGGCCGCGGGGTTAGGGGAAACGGGGGGGTCGAGGTGGCGGGAAGGATGGGCGCGCACCGGAGGCGGCGGAGTGGGCGGAAGGAGAGACATCAAGCGCGGGAGAAAGTGGGCGGAGAGGGGAAGAGGAGCGGAGGGACGACAGGACGTGGTCGGGTGACAAGGGGCGGTGGGGAGGCATGTGCGGAAGCGCCGGAAGGGTGGAGAGCGGGCGGAGCGACGGGGCAGGGAGGGGAAGGGGTTCCAACGGCGGGAGGCGCGGTCGGGGGAGCAGCAGAAGGCAGGCGGATCGCAGCGCGGGCGAGGGATCGCACATGGACACGGAGCGCCTCTGGGTTCCCCCCAATCCGCGCAATTATGAGTCGCGTTCCGGCGGGATCCGCGCTGGGAGCAGGCGGCGGGCAGTTGGTAGGGGCAGGCCACGGAATGAGGGGGGCTGGTTCGCTGCGGATAGCTCTCCGTACATTCCCGATGACCCTGCCTTTGCTGCTGCTTCTGATTCAGATTCTGAGTCTGATGCTGATTCTGGTGCTGCTGCTGCTGCTGCCGCTGCTCCCAATGCTGCGGCGCTAAGCTCTAGGCGTGAGCAACGGTGGGCAGGGCCGGACGGCACCAGCAGCTGGCGCGCGCGCGAGGCGGGGGAGGCGCGCGCGCAGAGCATGCGCGCCCCCTCCAGCAGCGCGGAGCCCGCCGGGGAGGCGGGGCTGGCGGGCACAGTCGGGGGAAGAGCCTGGGGGGGCTGGGCGGAGGCGGAACGGACGCAGGAGGGGAGAGACAGCGGGGCAGAGGGCGACGGACGGGGCAGGAGGGGGGAGAGGGCGGAGAGGGGGGAGGGGCGGGGAGAAAAGACGGTTCTGCAGGTGGCGCTGCTGCTGCGGCAGCAGCGGGACGCGCGGGGGCGCATTGCTGTGCTGAGCTGAGAGCGGCGGAGGCGGCGTCGTTTGGCAGCACTCGTGTAATGTGGCTGTCGCTGCTCTCCCACGTGGCCGCCCGGTCACCATGGGCCAGAACCAAGGAGGTGAGCGAGCGCTGCTGCAGGGGTCATAGGGCGGCAGGGAGGAGGATAGGGCCATGCTGTCCCCTTTGTCATCCTGTCCTCTTTGTCATCTTTCCCTCAAACTTGTCCTGGTCCTCCCTTCCTTCCTTCGTTCCTTCACACCCTTCGCGCTTGCCACCCTCCTGCTCGCCTCCTTGCACTGCTGCGCTTCTTCTCCTTCCATCTTTCCTTTCCCCTTTCCTCCCGCCTCCCCATCTGTTTCTCTCCTAGCGAAACCCATTCTCCGTTCCTCTCGCACGTGCCTGCGTGTGCGCCCAGCCCGCCACCAGCGCCGCCACCACTGCCGTGTTGACAACTCTCAAGGGTAATTTCATTTAACATGCCTGCCCCTACTGCCGTGTGTGTGCGGCTGAGCAGGTGTTTGAGTTCGTGAAGGGGCGAGTGTGGTTCCGCCCGCACCCCATGTGGTATGCCAAGATGATTGCACTGCTCACCAAAACGCGCCTGCGCCAGCTGCAGCGGCGCCAGGCAGACGCAGGGCAGGGTAATGGGGGGCAAAACTCACGCGTACTGCCAGGTAGTGTGTGGGTCAGAGACAGAAGGGGACAGAGGAGAGGGACGGGGGGGGAGGAGCGGGAGCGAGGGGGTGTGGTAGGGATGGTAAGCGGGGTACGGAATGGCGAGTTTGCACAAGAGGATAGAGACGAGGGGGGTGAGGAAGAGGAGGAGCAGGCGGTTGGAAGGAGGAGACGAGGGGGAGAGGGTGGTAGAGCAGGAGGGCGGGTGAGGGGAGGAGGGGCCGGGAGCGACGGGGACTGGGAGGGCGGGGGTGCAGGGCTCGCAGGGGCGGATGGGGTGGCGGCAGTGGTGGTGCCGGTGTGGCGGCTGGTGCAGGAGATGCAGCGAGTGGGCGTGCCCCCCTCTGCCTCTGTCTGTAACTCCCTGCTCAAAGCGCTCTGTGCTGCTGCTCTGCTGCCCGCCCCTCCCCGCGCTGCCCCTGCTGCTGCTGCTACTACTTCACGTGACGATGATTCGTATGGGGATGGGAGGATGGCAGAGAGAGGTGGAGGTCGTAAGGGGCGTGTTAGCGAGCCGGATAGGGGCGCGGAGGATTCTCGGGGTGTTGGGACGGGAGAGGATGAAGGGAGGAGAGGGAGGAGGGGCGAGAATAAGAGGAGGGAGAAGGGAGTAGAGGGGAGTGAGATGCTGCTTGATGCGGCCATGCGTCTACTAGCGTGCATGGTGGCGGTGCAGCGCCGGGAGCAGCAGATGCAGGAGGAGGAGAGGCGAGCAGCAGCACGCACAGCCGACACCAGCAGCAGCAGCAGCAGCAGCAGCAGCAGCAGCAGCAGCAGAAGGGCTGTGAGAGTGGATTTCCGGTTCCCTCTGACTGGCTATGAGAAAGGCAGGACGGGAAGAGTAGGCAAGAGCGTGCGAGGAGGAGAGGGGAGCAGCAGGGGGGGGGGTGAGGAGGAGGTGCGGGTGGTGCTGGGAGAGGGGTGCGGCCCCACAGCAGTGTCGTTTAACATCCTGCTGGACGCGTTGGGGCAGAGCGGGCGAGTGGCGGGCATGGAGCAGCTGTGGCACCAGATGACGCTGCTCGGCATCGCTCGCACACATGTAGATGCACGGGGGATGGTGCGGGATAAGTGTGGGATTGAAGGGAGGGAGTTCAGTGGAGAAGGATGAGGGAGCAAAGGGAAAGGATCGAGGGAGTAATAAACGAGGGAGAGTAAAGGAGGGAGGGAGGGGAGGGAGGGGAGATGTTTTGTGATCGATACTGCTGTGTATGTTTTCATGTCGCCTTGCCTTGCCTGCCAGCCGTGTACGTTCATTCTGGCCATGATCTCATCTCACCCTCGAATTCTGCCTCTGCTTGGGACCAACCGCAGGGACTAGACTAGCAAGCATGCCTTGCCTCCACGTATTGCCTCCAGGTATTCCCGCATGCCATATGGTGGCCCGGCCTGATGCCTCACCTCACCTGCACCTTGTTCCGCCCCCTGCATCCCCTGCATCCCCTGCATCCCCTGCATCCATTGCATCCCCTGCATCCATTGCATCCCCTGCATCCCCTGCATCCATTGCATCCCCTGCATCCCCTGCATCCCCTGCGTCCCCTGCATCCCCTGCATCCCCTGCGTCCCCTGCATCCCCTGCATCCCCTGCATCCCCTGCATCCCCTGCATCCCCTGCATCCCCTGCGTCCCCTGCGTCCCCTGCATCCCCTGCATCCCCTGCAGGCCACGTACCTGGCTGCCATGTCAGCCTACGCGCGGCACCGCAGCGCGTCGCGCCTGCTCTCCATCCACCGCCAGATGGTGGCGGATGATTCGCTGCCGCCGCCCAGCCGTGCGACGCTGTCAGTGCTGATCGAGTGTCTGGGAGCAGTGGGCGCGGTGGGGAGGATGGAGGGCGCGTTTGAGGCCATGCAGGAGCGCGGGTGGGTGGCCTCTACGGCGACTTGGAACGCTGCTTTAGCGGCATATGCTGCACGCAACGACATGGTGCGTGCGAGGGAGGTGGGGAGTGGGGAAAGGGGAGGATGGAGGGCACGTTTGAGGCCCTGCAGGAGCGCGGGTGGGTGGTTTCCACAGCCACTTGGAACGCTGCTTTAGCGGCATATGCTGCACGCAACGACATGGTGCGAGGGAGGGGAAAAGGGGGGAGGGAAGGATGGGGGAAGGAACTGGTGTGGACGCGTGGCAGTTGAGCCATGAATCGTTGCTCTGTGACAAGCATGTGTGGAAGGCGTCTTAGCAGACCCTTGCACACGTAGCAAACATCCCATCAAGCAGTATTTGTCCCTTTTGCTGTTCTTTGCGCCTCACTTCTCAACCGCACACCTCTCTTGGCCTTACTCCTCTCCTTCTCTGCACCTGGGTTCCGTGCTACACTCTCCTGGTCCCTGTGAGCAGAACGGCATGTGGAGGAAGTTTGAGGAGGTGATGGCGGGTGGGGGCCACCCTGACACGGCCACCTTCACACTGCTGCTCTCGCACCTCGCCCAGCGCCGCCAGCTGCACCGCATTGAACACCTCTGGTCTCTCATCGCCCCTCCTGCCACTGCTTCTGCTTCTGCACCTGCTGCTGTACCTGCTGCGGTTGCGGCTGCGGCTGCGGCTGCGGCTGCAGGTGCAGCTGCTGCAGCTTCCGTGCAGCAGCACTCCTCCTTTCCTCACCAAACCCACCCGAACCAGCAGCGGGTGCGGCGTGTTATAGTCACAATAGGCTTGAATGTGCCTAAAACGAAAGATAGAGAGCACAGACGGATTTCTGCACAGCGGCTTCAAACGTTGATAGCGTTCTGCTCACAGCTGCAAATGACTTGATTCAAATTGGATCTGGAGCGTCTTCACGTCGTCTACAATTATCAATTTAGATTGCACGATTTGATAAAGAATTGACGACACATCGTCGGTTTGAACGAACGGTACTATGGCAGCCACTATAGTCTTAGAACACAAGATAGGAAGAGTTACGAGTTGGGAATGACTCCCAGCTCCTACAAACCCCAAGAGCCGAGGTACAGTGATGTGGAACAGTGCCACACTGTCCCCAACCACGAAGGGTCTCGAAACTACCCTTCACTAGGGCCTACACCAAGTGAAATGTTACACTACACAAAGTAATGTAACTATCTTCAATATCTTGAGGTGTACCCTTTTGGCAAGCTTCGAAATCTTTTGAGACTTGACACCAAGGCTCGGGCTCTTCATCACAAACTCATCCTTGAGTTCTTGATGGGTCTGCTGCACACACCTGCGGCACGCCGAACGTTCGACACAGGACAAAATAGAAACCGCGCACGACAAAATAGAAACCGCGCACGAGACACAAACGACCGCGTAACACGCGTCTAGCGATAACTCGCTATTGACTCGACACACACACTCGACATCATGACTCAACATTCACACACAATTATAAGCATGAAATATATATTATCCCATGCCCTCATACCATTCCATACACACACACATTCACGCACACGGACAACAAGCCGAGTGCAAACCGTAGGGTTGCACCAACAAACTCCCCCTTGGATTGTTGGCCTTAGGATATGTTGCTCTCTCAGTTCAGAGCCATCCCAGCCAGCTTGCAACACTTCCAATGCTGCTGCTCCACCAGCCTCTTGGTCATCATGTCAGCCGGCTGCCCCGTGGTCTTCACGTAGCGCAACTCAACTTCACCCGCGGTTACCATGCTCCTCGTCCAATGCCACTTCACCCTCATGTGCTTCGTGAGTCCATGCAACACAGGGTTCTTAGCAAGAGCAATGGCACCCTGGCTGTCACAGTACAGTGGGATAGGTCCTTGCTGCTCCTCCCCCAATTCAGCCAACAAACGCCGCTGCCACACAATCTCCCGTACGGCACGGAAGAGTGCCATGTACTCGGACTCCACCGAGCTCAAAGCTTGGTCAACCTGCTTCTTGCTCTCCCAAGCAGTTGGGCCTCCACCAACACAGCATATGAAGCCTCCCACACTTGTCATGTCCTCTGGTTCTGATGCATATGAAGCATCCGAGTAGGCGGTGAGGAACAAACGCCCGGGTTCAACACCATCCGCGCCCTTTTGGCGCCTTTGTGCCGCCGCCGAGTATTGCAGCCCAACGGTCGGTGTTTGGCCAAGATACTTGGCCACCCTCATTCCAGCTGCTACCTGCTCCTCATTAGGGCATTGCACAACCCTAGCCAGCTGCCCGGTAGCAAACGCGACGTCCGGTCGGGTGTTTACCGCCGCATACATGAGGCTGCCCACCAACGAGTGAAATCGGCGCCTCTCCTCTTCACCAACGCTCTCCTCCTCTGGTCCCTTCACACACTTGAACCCAGAGGGAAAGGGTGTAGCCACATGGCCTTCACTCTGCCCAAAGTTGGCAGCCAATGCCTCCAGGTACTTTCGTTGATGCACCCGCATGCACCGCTTCTCCACATCTCGTTCGATGTGGAGCCCAAGGTAGAAGCTCACGTCACCAAGGGCCTTGCACTTGAACTTGTCTTGAAGCTTCAGCATCACCTCCTTCACAAGGTCAGAAGAGGGTGAGAAAATGAGGATGTCATCCACATAAACCACCATGAAACTCCTCTGCTCCCCCTCGCCAAGCATGAACAAGGAGTGATCGGCCGTTGAGGGAGTGAAGCCGATCCCCTCCAACACTTCGCGCAGCTTCATGTACCATTGCCTAGGGGCCTGCTTCAGCCCATAGAGGGCCTTCTTCAGCTTCCACACTCTGCCACTACCATCATCAAACCCCTCTGGCTGCGCCATAAAAATCTCCTCCTCAAGGATGCCGTTAAGGAATGTCGTTACGATGTCCATTTGCTTTACTACCCATCCTTTGATGGCGGCTCCCGCGAATAGGGTTCGCAGCGTCGTCGGCTTCACCACAGGGGCAAACAGCTCCTTGAAGTCCACCTTCTCCTTCTGCTGGTACCCCTTGGCTACAAGCCTAGACTTGTAGCGCTCGATCTTGCCGTCGGCATCCGACTTGATTTTGAAGAGCCACTTGGACGTTATCGCCGTACGCCCCTCCGGTAGCTCCACCAATTCAAACGTGTCATTCTCCTCGATGCTCTTCAGCTCACTCTCCATGGCCTTCTTCCACTCCTCAGCATCACTACTCTCCAAAGCCTCCTTGAGAGTTGCTGGTTCTCCCGGCATCTCCACCGGAGAGAAGAACGCGAAGGCACACTCCTCGTAGTCACTCTCCTCGTCGTCTCCGACCATCATTGCCGCTCCGGCCAGGGCTGTCTTGCCCTGCTTTCCCGGCGCATCATAGGTCAGCCTATTAGGGGGTTGAACTCTCCTCTTCCCCCTTCCTTCCTCCTCAGCTGCAGGGACTTGAAGGCCTTGGCGTTGCTGCGGTGTGGCTCGAATCCGTGGAGCACTCGTAGTACGGGAAGGAAGTGACGGTGCACGCTCGCTCACTTGCTGCACCTCCTCCTCTTCTTCCTCTGCATCATTGGCCTCCTCTCCCCCATTCACAAGGGAGGATTGCCTTGTGGTTGTGCTGCCGCTGCTCAGTTCCAAAGGCAGCTCCACATGCTCCAAACCGGAACTCTTCACCTCCCCAAACCGCACGCCTATCTTCGCCTCATTCTCCGCCTTCCAATCCTTGTACATGAAGTTCTCCATGAACTTGCAGTCCCTGCTCACCAAGAACTTCTTGGTGAATGGGTCCCAAAGAAGCCATCCCTTGCTGTTTTGAGCCATGCCCAAGTGCACGGCCCACACCGCCTTGGCACCAAGCTTGTTGTGCCGAAGATGCTTAGGCACGAGCGCCATGCACATGCACCCGAACACCCGAAGCATATCCACCTTTGGCTTCCTTCCTAGCCACTCCACATAGGGCACCCATTTGTCTGCTCCCACATGAGTCAAGGCTCTGTTCTTGGCCACACACGCGCTCCGCACCGCATCAGGCCAGAAATAGTCGGGTAGCCCGGCTTCAATGAGCAACCCGCGTGCCGCCTCCGTGATTGTGCGGTTCGCTCGCTCGGCGATGCCGTTCATTGCAGGGGAGTATGGCATGGTGAGGGAGTGCCGAATACCATTCTTCTTCAGCCACAACCCAAACTCCTTGCTCAGGAACTCTCCCCCTCGATCGGTGCGGATTGACTTGACTAGACGGTCTTGTTGCCGCTCCACCATCGGGAACCAATCCGTCTTCAACGTTTCAGCCACGTCGCTCTTCTTGGCCAGCACGTACACCCAAGTCATGCGGGTGTAGACGTCGACAATGGTGAGAAAATACTCAGCTCCAGCAGCTCCAAGCTTCAGGGGGCCCACCACGTCCATCACCACCTCATCAAGCGGTGCCTTTGCCGTTGCCTCCGAACTAGGGAACGGAAACCGGGTGAACTTGGCTTGAATGCACGTCGGGCAGCCAAGCACCTCATCGGGCTCCCCCTTCACACGTATGCCAGCAACCATCTCATTCTTCACTAGCTGCTGCAAGATGGGCAGGGCCACATGCCCCATGCGCCGATGCAAGGTGAGCCAATCACACTCCCCCGTAGCCGAAGTTGGATTGGAGAATGCCGCGCTCGCAATAGCGCCCCACATACTCTCTCCGTAGTCCTCCTCCGCTGCTGCCTCTGGGTTCTCCTCACCCTTTTACTGCTCCTTGGTTGCTGCACCACTCTCCTTAGGTTCAATGAACTTGCTGGTCCCTCCAGGTTTGCTCTTCTTGAGCTCATTCTCCTTAGCGCGACCGTTCGCGCCATCGTCGCTACCGACCGCTCCATCCTTGGTGCTGATGCTTGCTGTCACTTGCCTCTCCTTAGGCATAGGGACCACTGGGATCTGCCACATCTCGTTGTAGACATCCCTGTCCTCATGAAGGTCCCAAAGAATTCGATCGCCAAGCCTTGCGGTGTAGGTCTTGGCTCCCTTCGAGTTCGTGTCCATGCCGGCCTTTGCCAACCGCCGCACGGAAATCAGGTTTGCAGCAAGGCTGGGCACCCAAAGCACGTTCTTGAGGCCCACCATCTTCCCATCAGCACCCTTGAACATGGCCTTGCCCATGCCTTTCACCTCTGCTCGCTGCCCCAAAGCCGATGTGACATGCTTCACCGGTGACGGCTCGAGTTCGGTGAGCAAGTCCGGGCGAGGTGTCATGCTATAGGTAGCGCCACTATCAATCACCCAATAGTCCAGGGGGTGTAGGGTCACCTTCCCCACAGCTGCTGGCTCCTCAAAGCCTTCATCCTTCTCTGGACCAGCCGGTACTTGCGTCGACACGAAGTAGAATAGACCCGGGTATCGATCGTCGCTCGGGTCCTTGTCGTTGTCTCCGCTCTTCATGTTTGCAGCTCCGCCACCGCGACTGCCACGGCCTCCACGGCCTCGTCCTCTCCCTCCTCCTGCTCCTCTACCCTCTTGGCCTTGAGCAGGGGTCCAACCATCAGGGAGTTTGTAGCAGTCGCGCCACATGTGTCCGCTCTTGTGGCAATAGTGACACTCGCCGTCGAATCGGCCGCGACCGCGTCCGTAGCTCTTGTCGTCGCTGCCGTAACCGCCACTCCTGCGGCCTCCGCCGAAGTTGCTGCCACCAAACCTTCCTCCCCCTCGTCCTCTGCCTCTTCCTCGACCATATCCACGGCCGATGCTCGCTGCCCCAGCGCCATCCGCACTCGCCAACTCACGGCGGCGGAAATCCTCTTGAAGGATAGCTCGCTTCACGTCTTCAAGCGAGAGGCGGGGCAAGTCGCGATTAAGGTTGATGATGAGCGAGGACCATGACTCTGGGAGTAAGGCCAGCAACTTGGTCTTCTTTTGGAGCTCACTGTAGTTCAAATCAGCTCCCTCAAGCCGCGTCAACAAGTCGAAGAATTTCTGCACCCCTTCTTCAACCGCTTCGTTTTCTTCAATTCATAGTGCCGCCATTTGCCGTTCCAACACCACCACTACCGCCGCTGTTGCAGGAGCATGTACACCCTTGAGAGCAGCCCATGCCTTTGGTCCTTTCTCTGGTTCACGCTGGAATGGCTTGATGTGACGGATCTGACTGCTCCCCAACGCTTGCCCAAGTAAGAGATAGCCTTGTGCGCTCTTCCGCACCCACGGGCTCTTCTCCGGGTCGTTCTCGGGGCGCTTCTCCGTTCCTTCCATCACCTCCAGCAGGTCATAGTGGTCAAAGATGTTCTCCATCTTGAAGGACCATTCAGCAAAGTTGTCACCGTTGAACTTGTCAAGCCCAAACACCCTAGGCTCATCCCTAGGTGGGCCAAGACTTGGTTGCATGGGCGCCATGGCTGAATCACGGGGTTGGCCTTGAGCTTGAGCTTCTCCACTGCCACCAGCACCTCTGCCACCCCTTTCCTCAGGTCCAGACATTGTCGAAACTGCTCCAAGGGGCTCTGATACCACTTGTTATAGTCACAATAGGCTTGAATGTGCCTAAAACGAAAGATAGAGAGCACAGACGGATTTCTGCACAGCGGCTTCAAACGTTGATAGCGTTCTGCTCACAGCTGCAAATGACTTGATTCAAATTGGATCTGGAGCGTCTTCACGTCGTCTACAATTATCAATTTAGATTGCACGATTTGATAAAGAATTGACGACACAGCGTCGGTTTGAACGAACGGTACTATGGCAGCCACTATAGTCTTAGAACACAAGATAGGAAGAGTTACGAGTTGGGAATGACTCCCAGCTCCTACAAACCCCAAGAGCCGAGGTACAGTGATGTGGAACAGTGCCACACTGTCCCCAACCACGAAGGGTCTCGAAACTACCCTTCACTAGGGCCTACACCAAGTGAAATGTTACACTACACAAAGTAATGTAACTATCTTCAATATCTTGAGGTGTACCCTTTTGGCAAGCTTCGAAATCACTTGAGGCTTGACACCAAGGCTCGGGCTCTTCATCACAAACTCATCCTTGAGTTCTTGATGGGTCTGCTACACACACCTGCGGCACGCCGAACGTTCGACACAGGACAAAATAGAAACCGCGCACGACAAAATAGAAACCGCGCGCGAGACACAAACGACCGCGTAACACGCGTCTAGCGATAACTCGTTATTGACTCGACACACACACTCGACATCATGACTCAACATTCACACACAATTATAAGCATGAAATATATATTATCCCATGCCCTCATACCATTCCATACACACACACATTCACGCACACGGACAACAAGCCGAGTGCAAACCGTAGGGTTGCACCAACACGGCGGGGGTGGGGGGTGCAGGCAGGGGAGGAGCTGTACGGAGCAGCGATGCGGGCATTCGGGCAGTGCGGGGCGGCGGGGCGTGTGGTGGACGTGTTTGCAGCGATGGTGGAGGCAGGCGTTACTCCCTCTCTGTCCTCCTTCCATGCGCTTGTCGTGCCGTGTGCGCGCGCTCGCAAGATCGGAGTCATGGAGGCTGCTGTTGCTGCGTTCCTCTCCACTGGCCTAGTGGAGGAGGAGAGGCGAGGTGTGGGGGGGAAGAGAGGGTCCGCGGGGGAGGAGGAGGAGGAGGAGGATGGGACGAGAGGCAGAGGTGAGTGGGGTGGGGAGGGCAGGGGTGGGCGTGGAGAGGTGCAGGGACGGGGTTTGGGTGAGGGAGAGGGGAGCGGGGATGGTGAGGGGGAAGAGGGAGAGGAAGGCATGGTGAGGGAGATGATGATGGAGGTTGCTGCAGCGTATGCGGCAGAGGGCATGGAGGAGCAGGCAGGGCGGTTCAAAGAGCTTGCAGAGCGACTGGTGGTGGTCTCGTTGAAGGTCGGGGAGGGTGGGAGAAGGGGAGAGGGTGCAGGTGAGGATAAGGGGGTGGAGGAGGACAGTGAGGGAGACGAGGAGGAGGAGGAGGAGGAGGAGGAGGAGGAGGAGGAGGAGGAGGAGGAGGAGGAGGAGGAGGAGGAGGAGGAGGAGAGGAAAGAAGAGGAGCACGACGATGGTGATGACGACGATGGTGATGTTGGTCGCGGTGATGGCTGTGATGGTGATGGTATGTGCAAGGGAGATGAGCAAGGAGTGCAGGGAGAAAAGGGTCGTACCTCCCTTCAAAATGGCCTTCAGAATGGTCGTGGCCGTGGCCGTGGCACCAGTGGGCTTCCTGGTAGTGGGGACCAAGTTGTGCGGAGCAGGGAGGATGGGTGGGCAGCAACAGGTGAAGCAGGGTCGCTTGGAAGCCAGCTGCCTGCGGTGGCAACAGCTTGGCCGGCTGCCTCTAAACTCCGTTCGCAGGGACATATGCTGTCCAGTGAAGAGAAATTGAAGCTGAATGGTGTTGGGAGCAGGCTGGGTGACGCAGCAGGTGGGACTAAGGGGTGGGAGAATGGTGAAGAGACGAGGAGGTTAGGCAGGAGTAACAGCAGCAGCAGCAGCAGCAGCAGTCGCACCAGTCACAATGGCAGCTTCAGCGCTGTTAGTACTGGCAGTCCTAGTGGCAGTGGCAGTGGCAGTGATGCTTGGGGCAGTGGCGATTTTGCGTACAGCTCAGGCGGTGTAGCAGAGTGGGATGATGGAAGGGCAATAGATAGGTCATTTTTTGCCGACCAGAGGCACAGCTTGTTTCATTGGGACTTCCAGGCGTAATAGTGTAACAATGTGCAAGAAGAAGGCATCAACTGGATTGCAGGGTACGGTACTGGTACGTGTATTGTAATATTGTAGAGAGTGGCGTTTCAGTTGAAGACAGGATATGTGATACAGTAGGCCTGAGAACGAGAATCTGAACTGGCTGAATGGTAGACAGTCAAATTCATTGAACAAAAATCCAGAGGCTGGAACTTTTGTTGGCATGTTCGTATGTACACAATATTCACATCACATCATCTGGCGCATGAAATATTCCAGGAAATGGCTACCGCAGGGGGCGGGACGCCAAACCATACTCTCTCCCACTACACGAGGAAATTGCGGACCGCATCTGGTGGTCAAATGCATTCACGTTGTTGTCAAGGACATGAAGAACACATTTTGATCACAGATACCGTAAATTGGCTCTTTATTTCTCCCTCTCTCATTGAGGTACCGTATGAGTGGCTGGCTGCACCTTGCAATACTGGTCTGGTTGCCTGGTGAAGCTCATGACCACACCAGCCTAAACATTTCCCAAGGCCCCGCCCCAATAGTGAAGCTGGTGTCCAAAGCAAGGGTACTAATGGTAGGAGGAAGAGATGGAAACGTAGTACCGTATCACTATAACAAGAGCAGCTTTTGAGGAGACAACATGGGAAAGTTGTGGTCTTCCTCCAAAGGAGGCAGTGTGGTGGTCAAAGAAGTCTTGCATGGCCAAAGAGTAGTTTCAATCAAGTCAAACTTGTGTGGTACAGTTTAATAACAAGTAAAACTCGAGAAAGCACACAAAACAGAGAGCAGAGCAGAAGAACACAGCAGCCGTACGGAAGAACATGCACGAACTCAAACACACGACCTAGCCATCCACCGCATCGCAGTGCAGGTGCAGTCAGACGAGCTATTCCCTACAAGACACTATGTGAGGCCTGCCGCCCAAAACCCACTCCGTGACAAGGCCACACCCACAACTAAAGACCGTTCGACGAGGGCAACAGCGGATGTTGCCCGCATTCGATTTCCTTTCCACGCCACTTCAGCCAACCACAAGCGAAAAGCACATTCTACGAGCCTCCCGTCACACACGCCTTCCTTATTGTCCGCTGGAGAAGGCAGGACGGAGAGTAGGAGGCTTATTTATCGCACCCAGACCAGAAGAAACTAACAGCGAAGCCCTCTCGCAGAGAGACCATGTGAAGGAGAGAGGGTCGAGAGAACCTGACGAGGAGGTGAAGGTGGAGTTGACAAGGTGAATGCAGCAACCGGCGGCAGCCGCTGCTGCTGCGACACCCGCACTTTCCTAGGCACCAGCGGCCCCACGTCACTGCCGCTTATTCCTCGCTTATTACTGTCCCCAGCCGTTGCATGTCATGCTCAGATGCCTCTCAGCCCGGAATGAAGGAGATGAAAGAAAAGAGGGATACGTTCGAAAGGGGGCGCGAAGGCCAGGATTCAGAGGGAGCACGAGAGTGCGCGCCGTGAGCTACGGGCAGTACGTGCCCGACGCCGAAACTGATGGTCACACTAATAACGTGCCGATGTTTGCGCGAGAGAGAGGCTGAGAGTGAGAGCGAAAGGAGGAAGAGATGAACAAGTTGATACAGACAGCGGAAGGTACGGAGACCGAGAAAGCCTCCACCAGCCATGGCGAACCCTGACCCATCGCCCCAAGATGTTTCCCTTTACAGGAACGACGTCTGCACCGACATCAGGTGCCATTCAAACTCCTCCTCGGACGGCAGCGGCTGCTCGCCGTCAGATTCGCCGGCGCCGTCACATCCTTCCACGTCCTGGCCGTCAGAATCGCCGGACGCACTGCTACCGGAAGAAGACAGGGTGTCGAAGTAAACATCGTCGAAGCTGCCGCTGCTGCCGCTGCTAGCGCTGCTCATGCTGCTGCTACGCTTCAGCTCCTGGCCGGTCTCCTCGCCCTCCGTGTCCCCACCGGCACCAGCGGCATCCAGCTTCTTCCTCAGGCCGACTGGAACGTCGTCGCCGCAGCAGCGGTTGAACCACGCCTCGAATTCGTCCATCGAACCGGGATGAAGCTTCTCCCCAGCTTCGGCCGAAGCAGGCGCAGGGCTCGCAACCTTGCTCACTCCGGTCGACGGCATGGTGAAGGTGGGAATGTCCTTCTGAGCTTCCGCGCTCGGCTTTCCAATGTGCTGCGACGCTGCTGCGCGCGCGGTAGCTGCAGCGGGGGTGGAGGGTGCGTTGCGGGTTGAGGCTGCCGCCATTTGCTGCAAGAGCTGCGCGTTTTGTTGTCGCTGCTGCTGCAGAAGCATGAGGAGCACATGGCGCTGCTGCTGCTCCCACTGCTGAAACATCATCTGCTGCTGGAGGTGCATCTGTTGCTGCATCTTGTTCTGCTGAGGCTGATTTGCCATCCTACCTTGATTGTTGTTGACAAGGCCAACGGGTGGCATCCTGTTTCCGCCGATGGCGGCGGCGCGTAGAAGAGCGGCCGTCGCGGCCATTTGGCGACAGCGTGCTTGCTCGAGCAGTAATGCGGAGGGCGGCGCGGGCTTGTCTTTTGACGCGTTAAGCATCCCTTGCGAGCTCGCTGCGGCAGCAGCGGCGGCGGCGGCGGCTTGGGCGTACTGGAAGTTGAGCTGTTGCTGGTGCTGCTGCTGATGCATGGCCAGCATGTATTGCTGGAGCATCTGTGGCGAGCCGGCGGATTGACCGAAGGGTTGCACGGGGGAGGGTCTGGGACCGGCGAGGGGCGAGCGAGGGGCCATTGATGATTCTAATGCTGTTGAGCACAGCGGTGCTTGCTGTTGAGCTTACGTGGCTTATAAAGATGGAGATGCTCGAGACGTTTGCGCTGTTGGGTCTTTTGAACAATGCTGGGCTAGTTGCTAGAAACGGAAGCGATGCGACTGTGAGCTGGAAATATGCTTGGCTTGAATTGTTGTGTGTTGCTGTTGGAAAGTGAGAGCACGGGGGGCTTTGTACTAGGTCCAACAATGTTCCAGTGCCGAAACGCTCGCTGCGCTTTCTCGCGGTCGACAAGGGAAACTCTTGCTTGCACCAGTTCGCCTTGCGTGAATTGCGGCGTCGGACCTTCCTTGCTCCTTGTTGCTCGAATCGAACCAAACAGGGCGCTGAATGTGACGCTGGATGGCCCGTCTATAATTGTACCAACCTGCTGGGTGCTTGCCTGTCGCATGGGCTCCGAATTTCGAGAAGAGGAAAAAAATCGCTACCGCGACGCGGATTTTGTGTAGGCCGGAATTGTGCGACTCATTTCTGACGTCCTCTGCGACTCTGATCTGCGTCGCTAGCGACCCGGTCGTAGAAATTTCCAAAATCATTGGCGGGTTGTGTCGTGTCCAACGGGAATGGATGTGAAAGTTTCCGAATCGCGCTCCCTGCCTCCCCCGAGGCAAGGGCAGGCCCATGGGGCAAGAGGCAAGGGGCAGTGCAGCAATCATACTTGTCGTCCAGTGCTCAACACCGATTGATTCAGGTCGCAATTTTGCCTAAGGTCGTCCGAAAATGACGGCTACACGTTAGTCTGGCGGGCTGCGTATATTGCTGAAAGTGTTTCCCCTTTGCTTTGATGTGACCGAATCGCGCTTCCCACCCGTTGAGATGGAACCGTGTACCAATAACTGTGCTGTGTTCGCTGGCTTGCGAAAACTCTCGCCAGCCTCCGAACCGAATCGACAAGGAAACAAAGCCAGCTGTGGCGAGAAACCGCGACGTGATGAAGGAACCACACCGAACTGATAGGCCCATTTCATCCCAACGCAATAATCATCCCTGAAACACACGAGTCGAAACAATTATGGGGGGCTTGCTGAGTTGGTGAGAGAAAAGCCGAATGGTTGCGGAGTGTACCTTGTCTCGCTATTGACAATCAGTACTGAATATGTATCTAAGAAATACTGGTTCTATTTCCCCATAATTGTACAGAAACGCCTCCTACAAGCAAAGTTGAGTGAATTAAAAGGATTTGTATTACTCAGGTCAAAGGACCTCTTACAAAGGAGCCAAACACATTATGGGAGAGGCTTTGGTGGCAAAGGACGAGCAGGACAATTTTGGTCAGGCTCCTGCTGCATACCGTACCGTACATGTCAAATGTTATTATAGGTTCTTAGGCTACAGTGAGTAGCACTCTAGGGAGTACAACCCTTTTTCGGGTTGAGTACTTGTATCCCATCTTGTTAGTCCCAAACCATTCCGTTGCATTCTATTTCTGAGATGGTATCACGAGTAGGTTTAGAATCCTTGCCTAGCATAGCCTAGCTCGCGCCCTCGAGCCCTCCGCGCCCTAGCACGCCTCCGCGCCTTACGCGCCCTCTGTCACGCGCCCTAGCGCCCTCCGCGCCCTAGCGCCCTCCGTCATGCGCCCTAGCGCCCTCCGTCACGCGCCCTAGCGCCCTCCGCGCCTTACGCGCCCCCCGTCACGCGCCCAAGCGCCCTCCGCGCCCTATCGCCCTCCGCGCCCTCCGTAACGCGCCCTCCGCGCCTCCGCGCCTAGCCCTCCCCTACGCGCCCTCCACGCCCTCCGTATCGCGCCTCCGCCCCAGCCCGTCGCGTAGCCCGTGCGTCCTACCCTAGCCCGTCGTGTAGCCCGTCGCGTAGCCCGTGCGCCCTGCCCCAGCCCGTCGCGTCGCTCGTGCGCCCTGCCCCAGCCCGTCGCGTCGCCCATGCGCCTTGCCCCAGCCGTCGTGTAGCCCGTGCGCCCTACCCTAGCCCGTCGCGTAGCCCGTGCGCCCTGCCCCAGCCCGTCGCGTCACCCGTGCGCCCTGCCTCAGCCGGTTGCGTCGCCCGTGCAGAGCAATGCGCGCCCCTGCAGTGCAGCGCGCGCCCACGTACAGGGCAGCGCGCGCCCTAGCAGAGCAGCGCGCGCCACCCGGGCATAGAAGCGCGTGCCCCTGCCCAGGAACGCTCGCCCCTGGCCAGACATGTGCGCCCCAGCACCTCACGTACCTTCCTAGCCGCCCACACCTCCTCCTAGCCGCCCACAACTCCTCCTAGCCGCCCACACCTCCTCCCAGCCGCCCACACCTCCTCCCAGCCGCCCACACCTCCTCCTAGCCGCCCACACCTCCTCCCAGCCGCCCACACCTCCTCCTAGCCGCCCACACCTCCTTCTAGCCGCCCACTGGCACCTCTCGCAGTGGCTGGCACCTCTAGCGCGCCACGGCCCGTAGCAGGCCGTTCTCGGGTTTTCTCACCGTCGGTTTTCCCGTTCTCTACCGTTCCTTCTCTGGGTTCACCGTTCCGCCGTAGCTGGAGGCCGCTACTCCTCGCCTAGTTTCACCTGGCGCTCCTAGTTGTTCTCGCTCCTCGCTCCAGCCGCTACTCGAGCCCGTAGTTTCTAGCATGCCGTTTCTAGCTCCGGCCGTGTCTCACTCCAGCTCCAGTCGCTTCTAGCTCAGTTTGCTCCGTGCTCCGGCCGTTCCTCGCCTAGTTTCACCATGGCGTCCACTAGAGTTCTCCAGCAGCAGGGACAGCAGCAGCGGCCGTTTCAGCAGTGGGAACCTCAGCAGCAGTGGTGCCCTCAGCAGCAGTGGCACCCTCAGCAGCAGTGGGGCCCTCAGCAGCAGTGACGCCCTCAGCAGCAGTGGCGCCCTCAGCAGCCGTGGGGGCCTGGTGGTTCGGGTAGCGTTGGCTGCAGCAGCGGCCCAGCCAGCTGGGGGGCTCGTTGCGGTGGTCGCGACGTCGGCCCCTGCCAGTACCGGATCCTGACTGGCCCTGGTGCTGGCACTACCTGCTGGCGTCCTGACCACTCTGCACACCGCTGCTATAGTCGCCTCGAAGACCTTTACCGTGAGCGTTTTGGGTATGAGTCGAGGCCACCGATCTGGTCCGGTCTGTCTTGTAGTGGTTACCCTGTGTTTGATATGTCAATGCATGCTGTTTATTCTGTCACGTATGGGTCTCTTGGCTTGCGTGTACCCAGCTTAGGCTCTTTGCCTGTTGCTAGTGTAGGTACTTGTGCTTTTAGTGTAGGTGCTTGTGTAGTCACTAGTCCAGCCGTGACGACTGCTGTCGCGTTGCTCTCCTTCACGCTGAACTCAGGCGCGTCGCAGTGCTTCTTCCGCGACCACACCACTGTCACACCTCTTTCGGCTCCAGTCCCAGTTGCCCTGGCTGATCCTAGTTCAGGACCAGCAGTCGCTCGCAGCTCGACCACTCTCCCGTGCCCGGCTGTCCCTTCTGGTTTCCTCACTGGTCTCTACATCCCCTCGTTCTCTCGGAACTTGGTGGGTGTTGGATACCTTCAGGACCGTGGGATCACAGTCACTTTTCCTGTGACGGCGATGTGTACCGACGCTTCCACCGGGGCACTTCTTGCCACGTTCACCAGGGAGCCCCACTCAGGTCTCTTTGTTATGCACACTACGTCCTCCTAGGTAGCAGAGTCCGGTCAGGTGACCGCGTGCCCCCAGGTAGAAAAGTCCGGTCAGGTTATTGCGTCTCCTCCGGTTGCTGTGTCTAGTCAGGTTGCTGCGTCTGGTCAGGTTGCTGCGTCTTGCTCCTGTCGGTCTCTCGCCCACCCGACCGTCTTGTGGCACCATCGTCTTGGCCACCTGTCGATCCCCCGCCTTCGCATCATGGCTAGTCACAGTCTTGTCTCAGGTCTCCCGCGCGTCTTTCCGTCGCTCCCTCCCTCGCTTGCTCCACCTTGCACTCCTTGCGTCGCCGGCCGCCTGCGCGCCACTCCGCACTCCTCCTCTCTTCGTCCAGCCACTGCTCCCTTCCAGACTCTCCACTTGGACGTCTGGGGCCCTGCCCCAACGATGGGACCTGAGAGGGAGCGCTACTTTCTAGTGGTCGTTGACAACTACTCCAGGTACACCACGGTGTTTCCTCTCGCGAAGAAGTCAGAGGTGACTTCTACGCTGATCCGGTGGCTTCTGGCTACTGAGGGCACTCGTGGTAGTCGTGTCCCTTGTCTCCACTCCGACCGTGGGGGTGAGTTTCGCTCCGGCGTCCTTGCCGGGTTCTGCGGCGAGCAGGGCATCAGACAGTCCTGGACGCTGCCGGAGTCACCACAGCAGAATGGGGTTGCTGAGCGCCGCATTGGCTTGGTCATGGACATCGCCCGCACGTCCATGATCCATGCCCGTGCGCCCCATTTTCTGTGGCCCTACGCGCTGCGCTACGCCGCGCACCAGCTGAACCTCCAGCCGCGTGTCTCGCGGCCAGAGGTTTCACCGACCAGTCTTTGGACTGGGTCCCCTGGTGTTGGTTTGGCCTTTCACGTCTGGGGCTGCCTTGCGCTTGTCCGCGACACCTCTGCGGACAAGCTCTCGGCTCGCGCCATCCCCTGTGTATTCCTTGGTTTCCCGGTGGGCTCTCCCGACTACTCCTTTTACCACCCGCCCCTCCACCAGTTTCTCGACTCTCGTGACGTCCGGTTTGACGAGTCCGTGTCCTACTACACCCGCTACCCCTGTTGAGGTCTCCCGGTTCCCCATCCCCCCCCTCTTCCTCGCACCCTCTCTTCCTCCTG